TTTTTTTTGTGTGGTGGGGTGGGGCCGGGGATGCGACGCCACGTGGCGTCTCTAGATTTCCGAAAGTGTCTCCCTCGCGGCCGCCACGTGGCTCTAAAGCCGTGCGTCCGCGGGGTCAGCGGACTGGCCGCGTCCGCGGATTCGGCCGTGGATGGCCGCCGCCGAGGGGGATTCATAGCGTGGAGGCTGAGTGCATGTTTGCTTGGGTGTGTGTGACCCACCAGGGTACTTGTATGTTTGGAAGGCCCTTCGGCCTGGTACTTACCTGTGGCCGTGCTTTTGTGGGGTTGCAGCGGGGCTGTAGCCGTAGGCCAGGCCCGTGTAGCTGGAAACACTCAAGTAGCGGGTAGCCTAGGCCAACGTAGCTTAGAAAATACTTGAGTAACGGTAGGTAGACAGAAGAAGACAAAAAGTCAGTACCTTTAGAGGCCAAGTGAATCTTAGGACTTTGGTACGCTTAGGGCTAGGGGTACTGGTCCAGTAGTCTGAATCTAGGGCCTGTAGCGCATGATATCAGACCTGCAACGATGTTTCCCTTCGGAAAAAGGAAGGTATCAGATGCTTGGGAGGCCGAGCGCCCTGGACGGTCATAGCCCAGGAGCCAAGCTGCCGGTACATCTCCAGGAGGAGAGAAGTGTTCCTCCTCATTTTGCGGTGTGCCAGTTCGGCATCTCGCTGCTGGAGCAAGTGCTGGGCAGTCCAGCGCTTGGGAGGAAGAAGGCGGACTGCCCAGCACTTGCTCCAGCAGCGAGACGCCGAACTGGCACAAGGAAGGCTACAGGACAGAGTTAGGCATGGCGTTAGAGGGGACATATGAGCTTTGCATTGTCCTTTGAACATAGGGGCAAGGCCCCACTAGTCCACCATAGTCAAGTACCAGGGAGGTAGTAGTAGAAGCCTAGAAGGTGTAGAAACTGACTATGGTGGACCTAATGTTTTTTTTTTTTCAGAAAACAGCCCGAACACATGCTAGAGGCGCTGATAAAAGCAGACACCGCTAGCACGGTCAGGAAGGCTCCATCCATTGGTGGGGAGCAACACCTGCTGGAAATCGGGTCCAGCGTCCCTGTAAACATCCAAATTATCAAAAACGTGCCACGTGTCACAGCCTTCATCCTAACCAGGTGTAATGGCATCACCAAAGCCCGCACCATTCAATACGATAAGCAGCACTGATTGCCCTCTTTTTGAGGGGATTAACTGCTCACCTCGATGTAAGAGCTTATTCGTATTCTGACACCCTCGTCATATGGCGTACAGAAGGTCACACACCAGTACGAGGGGAGGGGCGGAATAGAGATCCAGTTATGGCGATCGCACATTCAGAACCAGAAGTCATACTGTTACATCTTCGATGCCACACGGGTCCTACCGGACCCGACTTAGGGCCGGAGGGACACACCAGGGCCTCAAGGCCCGACCTTTTTGTATTACAGGCCCTAAAGGCCTGATTTTGGGACCAGCACCATCGGGTAGGCCCAAACGACACTTCGTTTGGGCCTGGCGGCGCTCTTGAAGCTGCCGCCCGCCGATTGAGGCTGAACCATCCATCTGGACGGTCCAGGGTCTGGCCTGGCCTCGCAGCATTGAGGCCAGACCATGGCCTACCGGTATAAGTACCGGTACCTGCCTCAGTTGAGGCATCGACCTACCGGCACTATACCGGTACGGTATGGTCAGCGCCAGAGCGCTGTTTTGATGCGCTAAAATTAGCGCAGGGGCTGAAGCCGGAGCGCAGCATAGCGCAGATTAGCGCAGCAGCGAGCGGAGCAGCGGCAGGGCGACTGAGCCAGCACGGCGGCCATTGCCGCCTGAGGTACCGGGAGCTTGGAGGATCTCTCCTCCTCTCCCTCGCCAGTCCCCTCTCTCTCTCTCTCTCCTCTTCTCCTTCTTCTTCTTCTTCTTCTTCTTCTTCTTCTTCTTCTTCTTCTTCAGATTGGAGACTATCTAGTTGAACAGAGATCAGGGTTGGACTTCGGTGATACGAGACTGTGGTACTTACC